ACTCTTCCATAAAACCCAGCTCCGTGGAGTGTATGGCTTAAAGTGGTCCTATGGACAGATACTCCAATCTCAGCTGTGGAGCTTTGCAGCTCCTTCAGGGTTATCTTTGGTCTCTTTGTTGCCTCTCTGACTAATGCCCTCCTTGCCTGGTCCATGAGTTTTGGTGGGCGGCCATCTCTTGGCAGGTTTGTTGTGGTGCCATATTCTTTCAATTTTTTAATAATGGATTTAATGGTGCTTTTGTCTGTTGGCAAGGTTAGGGATACTCACACATAATGCTTTTAATATAGTGTTTCTAACATACATATTGATTACATTGTACATGTTCATTTACACAGTAATTATTATTCAGCATGTCCTCACCTGGGATTTGAACTCATAACATCTTGGTTCACAGCATTCAAAGCTTCCTGCTATGCCATCATGTCTGTATCAGTTAATTTGACTATTCTCTCATCATTGATTTAATTTACTTATTTCAACAATTTAAGGGCTTTCTGTATAGTTGTCTAATGTTAGTGGGGCATATTAACCTGTTTTAATTATACTCCTGAATCACTATGATCAATAAAAGCTTTTCTTGAGTGTACTTTTAACAGAGCTGAGATTTGCTTCAAAGTGCATTCACCCTACTGCTTACACCTATCCTAGGGAGGAGGGGTTAGGGTTTCTTCTGGACCGGGCCTAACTATACTAGCCTAATAAGCACATGCTCTAGAGATATCCCTTATTGGGACAGTGGTTAGGTTGTTTGATGCTGGTGGCCTGGGTTCAACACCTGCTAGGGCAGTTACCCTACGCTCACATTCTTAGCAGTTAATGTCATTTTTTGGTAGAATTCTAAATAGCTGAGCATCTTGGAGTCATGACTCTGTAGCTCAGCTGGTAGAGCACGGCGCTTGTAAGGCCAAGGTAGTGGGTTCGATCCCCGGGACCACCCATACACAAAAATGTATGCACGCATGACTGTAAGTCGCTTTGGATAAAAGCGTCTGCTAAATGGCATATTATATTTATTATTTATATTTTAAAGAGAATTCTCGATTGTCTTTTTGAAATCCGCACCACATACTGTATACCTTGTAGAACAAACATGTCTCTGATTAGGAATCACATCAGCTCTCGTCATTGCATTTCTATCTGTAACATTCCTAATTTGTTTGCCGAAACATGGCCCAGATGGTAGTGTTGTTTCTGCTAGAAACATACCCAGAACATGGTTGCCATATTCTGAGAATATCAGAAATGTGTATATTTACACATTCTCACATTTGCCATTTAAGCAATGATGATGCCAGTTATACCAAAACAGTACAAAACACATAGTTCCATCTCCAAGTTTTAATGTGGAAAAACAGACAAATTGCAACAGAATCACTTGCCACAAATCATATGTTAAAGGTGCAATCTGCAGTTGCTACATCAATCTTTGAACGGTGTGGATTTCAAGAAGACTTTGCAGCTGTATAGAATTAATAAATACTAATAACATATGAGAGGTAGTGGAAATATGGTCATAATTCTTGTGCAAAGGGTAATCCTACAGATTCCCATCTTTCAATGAGAAACTCATTTTAATTAGATCAGATAAGTGTGTTGTAACTGTTGCCAAATAATGACATTAACATACAGTGGGGAGAACAAGTATTTGATACACTGCCGATTTTGCAGATTTTCCTACTTACAAAGCATGTAGAGGTCTGTAATTTTTATCATAGGTACACTTCAACTGTGAGAGACGGAATCTAAAACAAAAATCCAGAAAATCACATTGTATGATTTTTAAGTAGTTAATTTGCATTTTATTGCCTGACATAAGTATTTGATCACCTACCAACCAGTAAGAATTCCAGCTCTCACAGACCTGTTAGTTTTTCTTTAAGAAGCCCTCATGTTCTCCACTCATTACCTGTATTAACTGCACCTGTTTGAACTCGTTACCTATATAAAAGACACCTATCCACACACTCAATCAAACAGACTCCAACCTCTCCACAATGGCCAAGACCAGAGAGCTGTGTAAGGACATCAGGGATAAAATTGTAGACCTGCACAAGGCTGGGATGGGCTACAGGACAATAGGCAAGCAGCTTGGTGAGAAGGCAACAACTGTTGGCGCAATTATTAGAAAATGGAAGAAGTTCAAGATGATGGTCAATCACCCTCGGTCTGGGGCTCCATGCAAGATCTCACCTCGTGGGGCATCAATGATCATGAGGAAGGTGAGGGATCAGCCCAGAACTACACGGCAGGACATGGTCAATGACCTGAAGAGAGCTTGGACCACAGTCTCAAAGAAAACCATTAGTAACATACTACGCCGTCATGGATTAAAATCCTGCAGCGCACGCAAGGTCCCCCTGCTCAAGCCAGCGCATGTCCAGGCCCGTCTGAAGTTTGCCAATGACCATCTGGATGATCCAGAGGAGGAATGGGAGAAGGTCATGTGGTCGGATGAGACAAAAATAGAGCTTTTTGGTCTAAACTCCACTCGCTGTGTTTGGAGGAAGAAGAAGGATGAGTACAACCCCAAGAACACCATCCCAACCGTGAAGCATGGAGGTGGAAACATCATTCTTTGGGGATACTTTTCTGCAAAGGGGGCAGGACGACTGCACCGTATTGAGGGGAGGATGGATGGGACCATGTATCGCGAGATCTTGGCCAACAACCTCCTTCCCTCAGTAAGAGCATTGAAGATGGGTCGTGGCTGGGTCTTCCAGCATGACAATGACCCGAAACACACAGCCAGGGCAACTAAGGAGTGGCTCCGTAAGAAGCATCTCAAGGTCCTGGAGTGTCCTAGCCAGTCTCCAGACCTGAACCCAATAGAAAATCTTTGGAGGGAGCTGAAAGTCCGTATTGCCCAGCGACAGCCACGAAACCTGAAGGATCTGGAGAAGGTCTGTATGGAGGAGTGGGCCAAAATCCCTGCTGCAGTGTGTGCAAACCTGGTCAAGACCTACAGGAAACGTATGATCTCTGTAATTGCAAACAAAGGTTTCTGTACCAAATATTAAGTTCTGCTTTTATGTCATGCAATAAAATGCAAATTAATTACTTAAAAATCATACAATGTGATTTTCTGGATTTTTGTTTTAGATTCAGTCTCTCACAGTTGAAGTGTACCTATGATAAAAAATTACAGACCTCTACATGCTTTGTAAGTAGGAAAACCTGCAAAATCGGCAGTGTATCAAATACTTGTTCTCCCCACTGTATATTGCTAAGATCGTAAGAGTAGGGCGACCCCACTAGCGAGTCTCAAACCCAGGCCACCAGCATCAATGACAAACACCCTAACCACTGTCCCAATAAGGGATATCTCTAGGGCATGTGTTTAATGAGCTAGTATAGTTAGGCCCTGTCCAGAAGAAACCCTAACCCCTCCTCCCTAGGTACTTGTGTATATCTGAAACAACTTGATAGGTGTAAGCAGTAGGGTGAATGCACTTTCAAATAAATCTCAGCTCTGTTAAAAGTATTTTATTGATGATAGTGATTCAGGAGTATCAGTAAAACAGGTTAATATGCCCCACCAACATTAGACACCTATACACAAAACCCTTAAATTGCTGAAATAAGTACATCAAATCAATGATGACACAATCGTCAGATTAATGGATATCTGATACAGACATGGCCACCATGACCGTGTCCGATATCCATTAGTCTGACTATTTAGGGCAGGAAAATCAGAGTACCATGGACCAAGAGGTTGAGTTCAAATCCCAGGTGAGGACATGTTGAATAATAGTTAGTGATTAATTGAACTTGCACAATGTAATCATGTGTGTCAAATATGTAAGCTAAAAGCACTGTGTGTGTGTGAGTATACCTAACTATGAATGGATCAGTGGTATACCGATCAGGGCCTTGATCGGCTCAGCAACAAGATGTGTAATGGATATTTTTTGACGTTTTTGCAATGTTTCCATGAAACGTTTCTAGAACATTAATATCTTATGTTCTGAGAACATGGCAACCATCTTCTGTGTATGTTTGGTAGGGCGTTGATGGAATATTCTCCGAACCCTCAGAAACCTGGACACATGAATGTTCTTGCAACATTCCCATGAAATGTGACTATAACATTAATATCTTATGCTCTGAGAACATGCACCAGCACCAGCACCCACTGTCACAGGACACCATCACCCACTTACCCCAAGGTGGCTCAACTTACCCCGTCCCTATATTCAACTTACCCTATACCCGGGGTAAGTTGTGCCAAGATACAGTACCACTTATGTTATGTTTTCAAAACTGTTGTTTACATGAATTCTGATTATTTCCAGGGATAAACAAGAAAGAATAATATATGTAGATATCTTTATTAGAAAGAATACTACAGTATATTTCCCTTGAGACTGAATGTAAAAAATGAATCAACATACTCCACTCTCCCCTATATATACTGTATACTGTGTATATATACTGTGTGTGTATATACATATGTATGTGTGTGTGTGTGTGTGTGTGTGTGTGCATACATTCTTTATGTATGGGTGGTCCTGGGAATCAAACCCACTACCCTGATGTTGCAAGCACCATGCTCTACTAACTGAGCTACAAAGGTCCAAATTGTAAATTGTAAACTGTAAATTGTTTACAATCTAAACAAAAGTATAATATGTATTGACATCAAAGCATAAAAGACTATTCAATTTCTCTTCATTGCCAAGCAGCGAGTACAAATGTGCAATTATCACTCAAGAGAATGGATTTACAGAAGAGTAATTATAGAGTTAGTATATTCATTTCTCAATATTGTGTCTGTTTAGTCCATTTCTGTCCCCTTTCCTCATTGGATAAAAAAGCAAAGCAGGCCAAATTCCAATCTTCAAGCCACAAGTTTTAATTTCTACATGACTGACAGTCTCTGAACTGGAATGAGTGGTTTCACTGTGGTTCCATTAAAACGGAATTGTTTGCATGTGTTCAATAGGAATATCCCCATATAGAGCACTAACAAAGATGACTTGAATGACTGACTATCAAGGTTTTCTTTTTGCTCGTCTGAGAAGTAAGTCTTGCCTCCTTTTCTCGGCTAGGAGTTCTTGTATCCTTTTGTTTCGTGTCGTTTCTCGGAATGGAGGCCGTATTCTAGGAACAAAGTGGTTTTGAGAGACCTCATTGTCTACACCAACGATCCTGTACGGCACGTCCACCGAGTTGTTTTCTCTCTTGTCCCCTGTCCGGTGGGGGGCTATGGTGGAGGGCATGAGTGTCACAATGACCCTACGCTGTGTTGGAATGGTTTTCCGTCTCTTGTCTCCTTTAGGTCTGGAAGTGGATGGAGCCAGGGTCATCCAGGACTTCCTCTCAATAACATCAACCCAAGCTGTGGTGGACTTGGGGACATTTGTAGTTCTGAGAGTTGATGGGTCCTGATTGGTGGGGATTGTGGTGGGTTCCGCGGTAGTGACGGTGATGACGGTGGTGCTGGGAACCGTAGTCTCCTCAGTGGTGGTGGGTGGAGATTTAGGACTTCTGGCAGTAACCGGGGGGGTGGTTACTCTTCTGGGCCGTCTAGTGGTTAATACAGGGGTGGTGGTAGGACTATATTTTTTTGTTGTGCTGTGTTCGTCGGTTTTGGTTGTATACTCCCCATAATCATCATACTCGACATAAGCAAAGTCAGTACTATATATCCCAGTGGTGGATTTGGGTCTGAGGGTTATTGTGGGGGTTGTTGAATAGGTGCTGTTGGTGGGGGTGGGTAGTGTGGTGTACCTCCAGGGCCCAGTGGTGAAGTTCTGGCCCATAGTGGTGAAGTTCCCCTCGGTGCAGGACTTGCAGCACATCTGTCTGTACCCAGGGTTGGTGCAGTACATGCTCAGCACCGCCATACGACAGATCGCTGACCTATCCCCCTTACACTGCCCTGAAACACAAAGCAACAAACATTTCAGAAACAAAACACAACCGCTACAAACATAATAAACCATAAACTACCTCAAAGAAAGAAAAAGTGAGAAAGTAACAGAAAAGGCTACTGTGATTAATCAAGCATAAAGGAAAGGAATGCTTTGTTTGTCATGCTTAATCAGATGTAACGATGTAAACGGTAAGCTACAGTTGTTCTTCATCTTATTAGTCATCACTCTAGGTGTATAATCTGTGAGACAAAAAGTTGAATCATTTTATAATGAGTTTATTTGTTGGGTTTGGGCTGCACTACTGAAACAATCTAGAAACCAAAGTCATATAATACACTCTCCCTGTCAAATATATGAAGCTGTCTATGCAGTTCAGAATGGAGCTGTTTGTCTTGATTGAGTACATTAAATCAGAAGGTACTGTACACAGTTAGCAATTTGGTAAACACTTTGGTTAGGAACTGCATAACACCAGTAAGCCAAAACAGATGAACAATAACTGATATAAACACTGGTTGTCAAGGGAAACAATAAATGTGTTCTTCTTTGTGTAAAAGGAACAGCACATTTAGTGTCTCCTGATAAGCATAAAAACTCTTAATCCAGTATCTCTGATAAAAATAATTTTTGACCAATATATAGTAAGGAACACATACTTTCAGGCCTTACAAGTTGGCTGGTAAAAGCACACAATTCATTGTTGTCACCAAGTTGAGAAACTTGCTCCTTAATACAGGCAACACATTTTGATACACTGTAGATACTCCCAAGTCACAGTTCAAGTCTTGTTGACACAGGGTTTTCCACACGGCGGCCAGAATATAGCTTGCCACAATAATGATACAATGATAATAAATGATGATATCTGTGTTGTCCATGAAGGTGCTGTGAATAGAATCCATTTGGTTGTAAACATCAAGTTCAAGTTATTTTTTCATCCTCTGCTGTATCACACAAGAAAAAAACATATTTTTTTTATTTCTCTCAACAGCCTAATAAGGCAAAGCTATTCTCCAGATGTTTATGACAAAATCATTGCATGAGGTATCTGAGTATCTTTTTGACTAATGCCTTACAATTACACACAAACAAACAAGCATTTAGAGATGTAAGGACACATTTCAGTTTCCTTGGTCTTACGCACAAAATGTGTTTTGAGTAAAAGTCACAGTACTTTCTGAAAGTGAGAATGAACCCTACTCACCTCCCCATAAACATTCTGGCCTCCTTACTTAATTTCCATACTGTTTAATGCTCATTAAACGTTTCACTTAAATATTTAGGTAGAATTTATACAAAAATACATATATGGTACGGTAACAGTCAGTAATGGAGAGACTTATTTCTGTGGAACTATTTCTGTTGATAATCGTGTATACATATTGTATAACTATAACGAGCATGAGTCTGCTGCACCTTTTGTGTTAACAATCATGGAAGAAATGTCTCTCCCAAAAAAAACTTTCCAGCTTCTTGTTATCAAATCCACTGCATAACTCCATATTCACTTCCATGGAGTGTCCCAGGTTGAAACCCAACAACACGCAACCAGTGAGCGACTCCATAAACAGAGGCTAGGCCACGACCATAGTCCTGCATTCAGGCATTAATAGAGCCTTATCAGGGTCGGAACTTCCATTTTTCTCTTCAGTGAGTGTTCAAGGCCAGCTCTGCAGCCTACAGTACAGTAAGACCCATGAAGGAGAGAGTGTATGTGTGTGAGAGAAAGAGCCAAAGAGCCAGAGACCACGGTACAAGAAGCCTCCATCCCCAGACAGAGAAGCCACAGTCAGGCAGGAGCTTTCAGAGCCATCCTCCAGTGTAGAGGAGAACAGGAGAAGAGGAAAAGAGGAAAAGAGCCACTATCAAGGCAGTCTGCCCCGCAGAGAGAGGCAGAGAGAGAAGGGTAGAGCCCAGGTAAGCAGAGGCATGCAGCGGACCCCGCGCTCCGCGCTATAGAGGGGACGTTTACTTGAGGAGATCTTGGGTACAGGAAACTCTGGGTTGGACCGTGACAGCCACTGGATCAAAAAGTTTTTTCCGTCACCTGAGAACAAAACAAACAGAAAAGGATTGTGCACGGTGTGAAAATCAAATAATATTGTATCAGTAATAAAACATGTTATGTACTTGTGTTCAATAACTTAAGCTTTGTGATTGGACAGTCACCTGTGCAGGGGACTAGCTGGCAGGTTCCTGAGTGTGATGGGTTTGGTCTCCATGCAGAGTCCCACTGAGTTATCAGGAGTGTTACACAGAACCTGGCGCTCCTGGGTCCCGTTGCCACACGTCACCGAACACTAAAACACACACACACACACACACGACACTCCTCTGAGTTAAAGATTTCAAGGAAACAAGTGTTTTTCCTGTCAATCTTATATTTGCTGTCGGTAATGGTGGAGAACTATTCACATTTGTCTTTCAACATCTACGTACCTGGGACCAGGGTCCTACTCTCCACTGGGCAGGGCAGAGCTGGCGGTTGCAGGGTCGTCTTCCCTCTGGCCTGTCATCATTACAGTACTTGCTATGGATGGAGCGTTGGCCACCGCCAGAGAGGGGCTGCTGACAGCGTACAGAGCGGCTCTGGTAGCCAGTCTTCCCACAGGATGAACTGCACTCCTCCCAGTCCCCAGTGATCCAACTGGAGAATAGAGCAGACACACACATCACCATACAGGTAGAGTGAGAACAGAAATGACTTACTGAGACATAACAGGAATATGAATAGCTTATATACAGACATAGTAATACAATAGTTACATAGAACATTCACAGCACACATATCAAACAAACACACACATAAATGCATTCACATACACTGGCTGGGAGCACTCTTTCTGGTTGCAATCCCTGCTGATAGCTCTGAGATTGTCGATGTTCACACAGTGGGTGCGGTGGACCATCTTCCCATCTGACTTTCTCCTGCAGCCAAACCTTGTGTACTGCTTACCTATAGAGGGTACAGAGTGTACACAATACCACTCACATCAACAATGTTGGTCAATATCCAAGGTTATTTGACAGCTAGCACTTTCCTGCAGTCAATGACCAAAAGAGCCCTCTGGCTTCATGGGTGAAATGTTATTAATAATTTTCCTAATTTCCTAATTAATAATGATGAATAAATCCAGTGTTTCTATGTCAAACAATTGTGTTATATTTCAGTCTTCTGTGATGTACAGTATATAAAGTGTAATATTGGGATGCAAACTCACAATTGAATACATTTCAACTCTATATCTGATATGGTACAGGTGTCTTCTTTTTTAAAGCCCATAGCCATGTGTGTGAGGTTTATACTTTTGTTTCAATGTAGATGTGTTTAAGACTACCCAGAATCACTTTGTGTGACCCTGATTCAGCCCAATGCAGTAAAGGTTTTTAATAGCCGATTTATTGACACTTTTAAAGACTGCCTACCTCCTCCACAGGGTTTAGAGCACTGAGACCACTTCTTCAGAGCCCACTCAAAGTAGGCTGTGTCCTCCTGCACCAGGTTGCTCTCTATGGATGACTGCAGCTTCTCGTGGAGAATGTATTTGTAGGAGAGGGTCACTTTGGAGTCACCGTGGGAACGGATCTGTGGGAGGAAAAGATACAGTAAATGCCATAAATGACAAATTGTAAGTTATAGAGCAGCTTGAGATGTGGCAAACATGACAGTGACAATGATATGGTACGTTTTCTTTAACTACTGTGCATTTTCTTTAAAGGCCCACACTATTAGGTTGGAATAATACTGTGAAATTGTGAAAATGATCAATTTCAGCCTGTTTTGGTGGGATGTAGTTTTGGCCTTCCATAGAGACATCACCATGCAATAAAGTAGTTAATAAATCAATAAGAAAGAGAGGTCCAAACCTCTTTGCCAAAACCAGCAAATTTTTCATTTTCTCCTCCACACTCAGACCACTCCTAGACAGTCCTAGCAAGATTCTTGCCTGAGAAATTGCTCTTTGCTAAGAAGCTATTTTTTAATTGAAAACAATCACAGTAACGTTGTGACCCAAAAATGATTTGATATTGAGATAAAAACAGCTGCATTGGACCTTTAACTAACTCCACATGAGGCAAACAGATGCTCTGAGGTTTTTTGCCAATGATATGGCTGGATAGTGGATACTCACTGCACAGAGAACATTTCAGGTTAAATGATTTCCTGAAGCTACTCCTACTATATCCGTTGGTGAGGTGATTTTAACTAAAAGTGGGTAAGGACGAAACAATGACATTAAAAACATTGCTCTGTGACATGTAGACTACACATTAATACAGGTAATCTCAGCAATTTTGACTTGTCAGGGACCTGAGTATATTGACTCACCATGACCAGAACAGCATATCCGAGAGGTCCTGTGGTCTGGACGGTCTCCATGTCGTCATCGTTGTGGTACTCCCACTCCACCCCCTTCTCTATCACCGTACGGGACTCTGGAAACTCATCCTCATCATTCAGAAACAGATGACCTGTGGCCTGGTTCTTCACCGCTGACACAAGGAGAACAAGGAGAAAAGGAAATATTAATGTTTGGTTTCTTTTCCCTCTCAGAATTACACTTTTGGTTATTCATAGCAGGTACAAACCAGAGACATTTGGCAGGATTATGATGATGAGCATTAGAGCAGTTTAAATCAGTATCTGCAGGTGATCTCTTCCCAGCAGTCCAGAGCCACTATTGGCAGTCAACTACAGTTGTCTGTACTCTCAGCCAAAACCTGACTGAAGCAGCAATTAATAACAACCCTCCTTACCCAAGCTAGTCACAGATGACTGATTTATAGAGGCCAACGTCCAGGATATTAACGACCCACTCTGATATTCACAGAACAGTTATTAAATAAACCTACCGAGGATGTGAGGGGTCCCCTTGAACTCCTTGATCAACAGATGCCTGGCCCCTCGGGGGATTTCAAGTATCTTGAGGAAACCTGAAACATACCGCAAACAAAATAGATGTGTGATGACGAAGAGGCTCCTTGGTATCAAAACAGCTTTAGATACCGAGAAGAGCATCCCTAGACTCCCATTAAAAAATAACAACTAGTGAAGTTGAGGAGGGGCTCACCTTGTTTTTTAGCACTTCTAGTGAAGTTCCCCTTGATGATCTTACAGCTGGAGTTGTCTCCACCACATATCCCACATTTGTCCTCCTGCGTGTCTGAGGCTATCTGGTTATCACAGCCCACGTGCTGTAGAGAGATAAGCTGAGTCAGTGTTTGGGAGTATGGGATCAGGCTGAGGAGTGGACCTGGATGGGTCAATCAGGACAAAGACATTCTTTCGGACAAAAAAAATTCGGACAACCTCCTCCCCCCCTCCCATTGCACATTCAACATTTAAGAGTTGTACAGTGCCGTCCACCTCATTACTCCTTCCTCTAAGCTGTGTGCGGGCGTGCAGTGGCACCGAAACTGCTGCGCACCTCCCCAGGACTGCCTTGCAGAAGAAATATCAGCCCACAGAGAGCAGCACAAGATTGAACTTCACTCAACTTTCTAGAGCAGTGGTCACCAACCGGTCGATCGCGAAGGTACAAACTCTGCCTCCCCAGCGGGCCCGGAGAGCAAATCAAGTGCACTATAGGACTACCGCTGGCCAATCGGATGGCTCATAATGTAGTGGGCATAAAAGAAAGTTACAGCAAAGTTGATACTGAGACTTCAAAACGTTTCAAACCATGACTAGAGAGAGACTGTCAACGAATACAGCAAAGAGCTGCTGTTTTTATGAGTGAGTTTAAGTTCTTACTCAGCACTGTCAACACTTTTGTATTCAACACTTTTATAAGCCATAAAATTTGCGTTTTTGTCTATTTCCATTCAGCGCTACAACAAGCACTGCAGCAGTAATGAATGAGTAGGAAAGTGTATCTGTAGGCTTACGTTGTTATTATTAGCGGCTTGGGTCTTTTTTAATATCGAGGAATATTTCAATTTCTCTGTTCATAGGAGTAACAACATGAATTTGTGCATGAGGCAGAAATAATGCGGTGTGACTCGAGTTTCACCATCAGCTGGAAGACGGTGTCCCTTTTTGGTCAGTGTCAGTAGGGGAAAGGGATCGTAGAGGGACGTTGAGAGGCGGACTCTCAGATGCAGGCGCCATCAGCCCAGTAAAATAAAAAACGATTGATTTAAATGTATGCTCACTCAGCTGTGCCTCACAAGTAATACAACAACGGATCTATTACCGGTGTGATCATATAGCCGACCTCAAATAATAATAATAAATAATAAGTCCCGTGTAGCTCAGTTGGTAGAGCATGGTGTTTGCAACGCCAGGGTTGTGGGTTCGATTCCCACGGGGGGCCAGTATGAAAATGTATGCACTCACTAACTGTAAGTCGCTCTGGATAAGAGCGTCTGCTAAATGACTTAAATGTAAATTACTCATTCTACTCTAATAAGGTGGACAGACAGTATAATATAATACATTATATTTCAATATTTATTCCATGGAAAGGGAAAATGGGGGATAAAGGATTCCATACACATGAAAAGATGAATGAGAGAGAGAGAGAGAGAGAGAGAGAGAGAGAGAATGAATATGCATGTGGGTGCAATGGTTTTCGTCAGTATGGATAAACAGTGAGTTTGGCAAACCCACATGGAAAACGGTCATAACTTAAAATGCACCAGACCAGAGAAAATACCCAGTAGCAGGAAGAGATTTATGGGATTGTATAAGGCATCGTAATGTTTATGGCCATATTTAATAATGTCCCTTCATGCATGACTTCTGTAGGCCATAAGACCTGGGCGATGCCTACCTCACAGTCCCCCCGCACACAGACACTGTAAGGGTCTTTGTAGGAGCAGCGTGTGCCATCGTGAACCATCCTGTTCATGGCCACCACGTCTCCTGTCTCCTTGGACTGGCAGTAGAGTTGACATCTCTCATCAGCTACAGTACAGAGAGGAAAGGGGAGGAGAACAGGATATAGGAGTTAATGAAGAAATTATAGTCATACAGTACATGTTTTCAGCTTTCTTTGATTGTGCCTGTATTCCTGTCCATATCCCACCAGCACAAATGAAACAATTTGAACAAACAATATTTTTAATTCTATATCATACTATGTCTGCATTATTTTGTTTTAGTCATGAGGATACACATTTATGGCAGAAACAACAGAATAATACAATAGGGCACTGTAAGGGTGTGTAATGAGAACCTTCATATATAAAGCTAATCAAATAACACAATAACAATATTTCACCCCGGAGGAAAGCAGGAGGGATATTCCTGAGTAATGACAATTCCATGTGTCCTTACTTAAACACTAGCCTGACCGACGTTCCCCCGACATGTGGAGAGGCATGGCCTGTCTGTCTGAGGGCCTCTCAGATTCCCAAGTAAACCAATCATTCCCCAGTGACCCCACTCAGAACAATCATTATAGTCGCCAAGAGACTTGAGCTGCTGGGTCATAAACTGAGCTGATACAGCCTTCAAATCAAAATCAAATCAAATGTATTGGTCACATACACATAGTTAGCAGATGTTATTGCGAGTGTAGCGAAATGCTTGTGCTTCTAGTTCCGACAGTGCAGCAATATCTAGCAAGTAGTATCTAACAGTCCTACAACACAAACCTAATACACACAAATCTAAGTAAAGGAATGGAATAAGAATATATAAATATATATGTCATTATCATTATCAGAGTGGCATAGTCTAAGATGCAATAGATAGTATAGAATACAGAATATACATATGAGATGGGTAATGCAAGATATGTAAACATTAAAGTGGCATTATTAAAGTGACTAGTGTTCCATTTATTAAAGTGGCCGGTGATGCGTTGTGCAGACTGCACCACCCTCTGGAGAGCCATGCGGTTGTGGGCTGTGCAGTTGCCGTACCAGGCGGTGATACAGCCCGACAGGATGCTCTCAATTGTGCATCTGTAAAAGTTTGTGAGGGTTTTAGGTGACAGGCCAAATTTCTTCAGCCCCCTGAGGTTGAAGAGACGCTGTTGCGCCTTCTTCACCACACTGTCTGTGTGGGTGGACCATTTCAGTTTGTCAGTGATGTGTACGCCAAGGAACTTTCCACCTTCTCCACTGCTGTCCCGTCGATGTGGATAGGGGGGTACTTTGTTTCCTGAAGTCCATGATCATCTCATTTGTTTTTTTTACATTGAGTGAGAGATTATTTTCCTGGCACCACACTCCCAGAGCCCTCACCCTCCTCCCTGTAGGCTGTCTCATCGTTGTTGGTAATCAAGCCTACTACTGTTGTGTCGTCTGCAAACTTGATGATTGGGTTGGAGGCGTGCATGGCTACGCAGTCATGGGTGAACAGGGAGTACAGGAGGGGGCTGAGCACACACCATTGTGGGGCCCCAGTGTTGAGGATTAGCGAAGTGGAGATGTTGTTTCCTACCTTCACCACCTGGGGGTGGCCCGTCAGGAAGTCCAGGACCCAATTGCACAGGGCGGGGTTGAGACCCAGGGCCTCAAGCTTGATGATGAGCTTGGAGGGTACTATGGTGTTGAATGCTGAGCTATAGTCAATGAACAGCATTCTTACATAGGTATTCCTCTTGTCCAGATGGGATAGGGCAGTGTGCAGTGTGATGGCGATTGCATCGTCTGTGGACCTATTGGGGCGGTATGCTAATTGAAGTGGGTCTAGGGTGACAGGTAAGGTGGAGGTGATATGATCCTTGACTAGTCTCTCAAAGCACTTCATGATGACAGAAGTGAGTGCTACAGGGCGATAGTCATTTAGTTCAGTTACCTTTGCATTCTTGGGTACAGGAACAATGGTGGCCATATTGAAGCATGTGGGGATGGCAGACTGGGATAGGGAGAGATTGAATATGTCCGTAAAGACACCAGCCAGCTGGTCTAAATGTCTTACTCACGTCAGCCACGGAGAAGGAGAGCCCACAGTCCTTGGTAGCTGGCCGCGTCACTGTGTTATCCTCAAAGTGGGCAAAGAACTTGTTTAGCTTGTCTGGCAGCAAGACGTCGGTGTCCGCGACGTGGCTGGTTTTCCTATTGTAGTCTGTGATTGTCTGTAAACCCTGCCACATACTTCTCGTGTCTGTGCCGTTGAATTGCGACTCCACTTTGTCTCGATATTGACGTTTTGCCTGTTTGATTGCCTTGCGGAGGGAACGACCATATTCCCCGTCACCTTGCCATGGTTAAATGCGATGGTTCGTGCTTTAAGTTTTTCACGAATGCTGCCATCTATCCACGGTTTCTGGTTAGGGTAGGTTTTAATAGTAACTTGTGAAGTAGTGTGAATATCAGTGCAGCCAGATGCTTCTCCTCCTCCACCTCCTCCTCCTCCTCCTCCTCCTCCTCCTCCACTTCTTTCTTCTCCTTCTCCTGCTCTTCCTCCTCCCTTTCCGCCTCCCCTGCTCTCCACTTAGAGCTCAGCTGTCTGTTTTAGCTATGGGCCACCTTATGTAACTTCAGATTTTTATGATGGTTTGCCATGGAAATTGGTCCTGGCCTCACAACGGAAGAATGAGAGCAGTGGTGTAAACTTTTTCCTCTCTCTGCCTCTACAAAGCCTCCAGGTCAACTTCTGAGTAAAAAAGCCATCTGGCCTCTGAACAGTCAATGGGTGGAGAAGGCAAGCACAACACAGGAGGTTGGTGGCACCTTAATTGGGGAGGATGGGCTCGTGGTAATGGCTGGAGCAGAATAGGTGGAATGGTATCAAACACATAGTTTCTATGTGCTTGATGCCATTCCATTTGCTCCATTCCAGCCATTATTATGAGCCGTCCTCCCCTCAGCAACCTCCACTGATGCACAAGTACCAATCAAAGAGGAGAGGTGTTAGGATGGAGAAAGTCCAACTCTTACTATACCCTGCTTATATTCTAGGTATTTTTGTGTCCATTTTGTGAGTGTACTTGTGTAGATTATGATATTTTCACGATGAATAACTAATCGTCAAGAAAGTGGTAGTTATGCTATAACACAGTCCACATGTTTAAGAATAGTGCTAAAGGAAATTAACGTCAGTCTGAACCCTTCTCTGGTCCCTCTGTCTTTTTCCAAGCCAGGCCTTTTGATTCCCAGGCAGCGCTGTGGACTTACGGTCAGGATGCTCATAGGGCAGCCAGTGGTGCTTGGTGTTGTCATACTCAAAGTATGGGTCCCACATCTTGCACTGCTCCTCCCTGAAGTCAGCGAAGGGCTTGGAGCACTCCTCTAGGTTGCACAGCTGGAACTCATAGCTGTTGCCATAGCATGTGCGTCCTCCATTGGCAGGGCTGAGTTATGGCAAGGGAGAGAGACAGCGGGTATTCCTTACATTTGAGACATTTTAGACATCTTCCTATCATGAGGAGAGCGTAAATGCATACATATCAGTCTTGTGTTGTACTCACATTGGGTTGTCACACTGACGGGTCCGGAAGCGCACACCACCCCCACAGGTGCGAGAGCAGGAGCCAAAGTTACTCCACGTGCCCCAAGCACCATCCTGCCTTAGAATGTCTGGGGTCAACTTGATGCAGTAACCCTTGAAGCAGTGCTGAAAGAGAGGGAGGGAGGGAACGAGAGAGAGATAGAGAGAGAGAACCAGGGTGAGAGGAAGATAGTTGTTACTGCTTATGTTTACACAAACACTGTAGCAAACATTAACATGTAAAGAGGAATCTTTCTCACCTTCCCCGGTGCACACTTAGTGCCGTCGATGGGCGGACCCTTCTTGGTTTTGCAGAAGAATGGGTTTTCTGGGTGACTGCACCAGAGCTGCTTGCAGGGGTCATAGGTGCTGTACTAAAAGAAACAGATTCATGCTCTCTCTCACACATGTAGCTGAAGAAAGCTTCCCACAGCCTTGACATGTCAACCAAGAAAACATCAACAGTATTGTGTGTACACAACCGTCCAACATTGTCATTGGTGGTATTAACTTAATACTATACCAGTCCAATATATCTCTAATATTTTTAATAGTTGTAAGCTTACACAAGATATGGTTTACTCAGGTCAATAAATAATACAGACCTATAAGCTTGCTGCCAGCTCTTAGCAAACTGTTGGGAAAAATTGTGTTTTACCAAATACAATGCTATTCCTCTGTAAACAAATTAACAACAGCCTTTCAGTGTCACGACTTCCTCTGAAGCTGCCTCCTCTCCTTGTTTGGGCAGGCTTCGGCGTTCGTCGTCACCAGCCTTCAAGCCACTGGCGCTCCTCATCTCATCATTCCATTTGTTTTGTCTTGTTTATTACACACACCTGGTTCATATCCCCTCATCAGTACCTGTATAAGTGTTCCCTCTGCCTCCCATGTCTTTGTGTGTGATTGTTTATTGTGGAGGTTACTATAGCTCGGTGGAGCTATATTGTATTTTGTATCGCCGGGATATTCACCCGTGTGCCTTGTTTTCTCCAGTGCGCCGTTTTACCGCACTGTAGCGTTTCACGCATTGCTGTGTACCGCTGTATTGCCGAATAAACCATTTATTCTGTGATTTACCCTCCTGCGCCTGACTCCGTCCAAAATCACCCGCTACAGAATCACACACCCAACAGAGTCAGCAGGAGCTGGGAATATGCCTAGAGTCGTTGAGCGGGTCCGGGAGCATTCCAACATGTTAGCCAGCTTGGGCTAAGCGATGGATCAGGTTCTCCAGGTCGTCCAACGCCTGGAGAGGAGAGGACCCGACCCTTCGGGACCAGCTGAGCGACCGGATCCAGCCACCCACACCCCAGCGCCCAGAGGTATTCAACTATCTCGACCAAGGGAGCACGACGGGACAGCGGCCCGCTGCCAGGGATTCCTCCTGCAGCTGGACCTCTACTTTTCCACCATCAGCCCGGCACCATCGGAGCGGGAGAAGGTGTCCACCCTCGTCTCCTGCCTCTCGGGGAAAGCCCTGGAGTGGGCCAACGCGGTCTGGAGTGAAGGAGGAGACGCGTTGGACAATTACGGGGCGTTCAATCGCCTCTTCCGGGCAGTCTTTGATCATCCCCCTGAAGGTAGAGAGGCAGGCGAGCGTCTGGTCCATCTGAGGCAGGGGACGAGGACCGCACAAGACTTTGTCCCTGGAGTTTAGAACTCTAGTGGCTGGGTCCGGGTGGAACGAGCGGGCCCTCATCGACCACTTCCGCTGCAGCCTGCGTGAGGACGTCCGAAGGGAGCTAGCCTGCTGGGATACCACATTGACTTTCAACCAGCTGGTGGACATGGCCATCCAGTTGGACAACCTGCTGGCTTCAAAAGGACATCCTTGAAGGGGCCTGCCCATTTCACCCCCCTTCAACCCGGATTACGTTCCGATGGAGCTGGGTGGTGCAGCGATCCGGGAGAACAGAGGACGACAGATCCAGTGTCACTCCTGTGGCAAGAGAGGACATTCTGCTGCACGCTGTCGTCCGAGTTCTTCTGGGTCTGGAGGCGGCAGGTAGGGCACTCTCGCATCACCCCAGGTAGAGTAAACCCACACTCGTTCAGAGCCCTCTGCTGCGTACTTCACCATACACGTCAACTTTCCTGATTCCCCAGCGTAAGGCGCTGGTCGATTCAGGCGCAGCTGGGAACTTTATGGACAGATCTTTAGCTAATAGTCTAGGTATTACATTGGTTCCCCTACCCATTCCATTGCCCATCAAAGCACTTGACAGTCGACCATTAGGGTCAGGTTTTGTTAGGGAAGTTACAGCACCAGTCACGATGATTATGCAGGAGACCCATGGGGAGCAAATCACCTTTTATATTATTGCGTCCTGTGATTTCCCTGTTGTGTTGGGTCTTCCCTGGCTCGCACTACATGACCCCACCTTTTCATGGCCGCAGAGGGTTATTACGGGGTGATCGCGTGAGTGTCAGGGTAGGTGTCTAGCTGTTTCAGTATGTGCAACCACGGTGGAAAGTCCAGACACTACCTCCACCGTGCACATTCCCCCCAAATACCTCGACTTTGCGCACGCGTTTTCCAAAATGAAGGCGACCAAATTACCACACCATCGGTTAGACACTGTGCCTCCCAGGAGTCATGTATATCCCCTGTCGCAGGCTGAAACGGAGGCTATGGAGACACACGTCTCCGAGTCCCTGCGCCAGGGGTTCATACGTCCCTCCACTTCGCCCGCCTACTCAAGTTTATTTTTCGTGAAGAAGAAAGACGGAGGTCTGCGCCCTTGCATTGATTACCGGGCACTTAATCAAACTACCATTCGCTATAGTTACCCTCTACCCCTCATCTCCTCTGTTATCGAATCAATGCATTGGGCACGCTTCTTCACAAAATTAGATCTCCGGAGTGCGTACAACCTGGTGCGTGTCCGGGAAGGGGACGAGTGGAAGACAGCATTTAGCAAAACCACGGGGCATTATGAATACCTGGTGATGCCGTACGGGTTGATGAATGCTCCATCAGTCTTCCAGTCCTTTGTGAATGAGGTGTTTCGGGACATGCTTGGTCGCGGTGTGGTGGTCTACATCGATGACATTCTGGTGTATTCCGCTATGTGCGCCGAGCATGTGTCCCTGGTTCGCAAAGTGCTGGCCCAACTGTTGGAGCATGACCTTTATGCCAAGGCAGAAAAGTGTCTGTTCTTCCAACAGTCCATCTCCTTCCTCGGATACCACATCACCACCTCAAGTGTGGAGATGGAGGGAGTCCGCATTTTAGCTGTGCATAATTGGCCGACTCCAACCAACGGTAAAGGAGGTGCAGCGCTTTATTGGTTTTGCCAATTACTATCTGGGGTTTATTGGGGCTTTGGCAAGGTCACAGCTCCCATAAACTCTCTGTTGAAGGGTGGGCCGTCCCGGCTCCGCTGGTCTGCTGAGGCTGACAGGGCTTTCAGTAACCTGAGGTCTCTGTTCACCTTAGCCCCGGTACTGGCCCATCCCAATCCATCATTACCGTTTGTGGTGGAGGTGGATTCGTCCGAGGTAGGGATAGGCGCTGTCCTATCCCAACGCTCGGGCACGCCACCCAAGCTCCGCCCCATGCCTTCTTCTCGAAGAAGCTCAGTCCGGCGGAGCAGAACTACAACGTTGGGGATAGGGAGCTGTTGGTGGTTGTCAGAGCCCTGACCGCGTGGAGGCATTGGCTCGAGGGGGGGCGAAACACCCTTTTCTCATCTGGACTGACCACCTTAACCTAGAGTACATCAGGGCAGCGAGGAGGCTGAACCCTCGCCAGGCCAGGTGTGCCTTGTTCTTCACCTGGTTTATTTCCTGCTGTCATACATACCAGGCACTAAGAATGTGAAGGCAGACGCACTGTCACGGCTGTACGACACAGAGGAGAGGCCCATAGACAACACCCCCTTACTCCCGGCCTCCTGCATTGTGGTGCCGGTAGTGTTGGCGGTGGACGCGGACATAGAGCAGGCGTTACGCACAGAGCCATCTCTACCTCAGTGCCCAGCTGGGCTGCGGTATGTGCCGTCTCTTGTCCGTGATCGTCTTATCTATTGGGCACACACGTCCCCCTCTTCTGGTCACCCAAGTATTGGCCGTACAGTGCGCTGCCTGACCGGGAAGTACTGGTGGCCTACCTTGGCTAAGGACGTGAGGGTGTATGTCTCCTCCTGCTCGGTGTGCACCAAGAGTAAGGCACCTAGGCACCTTCCAGCGGGTAAGTTACATCCCTTACCAGTTCCACAACGGCCCATGGTCCCACTTATCAATTGACTTGCTCACTGATATTCCCTCTCTCATGGTAACACCACCATCCTGGTCGTTGTGGACTGCTTTTCTAAAGCCTGCCACCTCCTTCTTCTGCCCGGTCTCCCCACGGCCCTGCAAACTGCGGAAGCCCTGTTTACTCATGTCTTCTGGCACTACGGGGTGCCAGAGGACATAGTGTCTGACCGGGGTCCCCAGTTTACATCAAGGGTCTGGAAGGCGTTCATGGAACGTCTGGGGGACTCGGTCAGCCTGACCTCTGGTTTTCACCCCGAGTCTAATGGGCAGGTGGAACGGGTGAATCAGGATGTGGGTAGGTTCCTGTGGTCCTACTGCCAGGACTGGCTGGGGGTCCTGGCAGTACGACCATATCTCAAACTGGCCAATAAAAAGAAAAGATTAAGATGGGCAAAAGAACACTGGACTTTTTCTTTGCAACTCTGCGTAGGTCAGCATCCCGAAGTCACCTCTTCACTGTTGACGTTGAGACTGGTGTTTTGCGGGTACTATTTAATGAGCTGCCAGTTGAGGACCTGTGAGGCGTCTGTTTCTCAAACTAGACACTCTAATGTATTTGTCCTCTTGCTCAGTTGTGCACCGGGGCCTCCCACTCCTCTTTCTATTCTGGTTTGAGCCAGTTTGTGCTGTTCTGTGAAGGGAGTAGTACACAGCGTTGTACGAGATCTTCAGTTTTTTGGCAATTTCTCGCATGGAATAGCCTTTGTTTCTCAGAACAAGAATAGACTGACGAGTTTCAGAAGAAAGTTATTTGTTTCTGGAAATTGTAAGCCTGTAATCAAACCCACAATTGCTGATGCTCCAGACACTCAACTAGTCTCAAGAAGGCCAGTTTTATTGCTTCTTTAATCAGCACAACAGTTTTCAGCTGTGCTAACATAATTGCAAAAGGGTTTTCTAATGATCAATTAGCCTTTTAAAATGATAAACTTGGATTAGCAAACACAACGTGCCATTGGAACACAGGACTGATGGTTGTTGGTAATGGGCCTCTGTACGCCTACGTAGATATTCAATTTTGTTTAAAATCAGCCATTTCCAGCTACAATAGCCATTTACAACATTAACAATGTCTACACCAGGGGTGTCAAACGTCCGGCCCGCGGGCCGGATCAGGCCCGCAAACGGGTTTAATCCGGCCCGCGAGATGATTTTGTAAAGTATAAAAATGAGCTGCCATTTTTCAATAAAAGAAACTGCTGTTCCAATTGTGTCCACTGGATGGCGCAATAGCAATTGTGTTAAGCAAGCAAACTGTTTAATACCGGGGCAGAGCAAATAGGTCAAGCAAGTGCAGCCAGTCCGGATGAGCTACTTTGTTTTGCCCGCGATATTTATTACGGCTTCTACTTTTAACATTATGTGCTTTGGCACCCTCATTGCCCCAATATGTCTCTGTCAAAAAAAGAGAAAAGTGGACGCAGAGTGCAGAGTGTTCCAAGAAAAAGTGTCATCCTTCTATTTATTCACGGAATTGAATGGGAAAGCTGTATGTTTGGTGTGTTCACAGCATGTTGCAGTGCTGAAAGAATATAACCTTCGTCGCCACTATGTGAGTCTTCATGCCGACAAATATGACAACTTTCAAGGACAGCGGAGAAGAGAGAAGGTGAATGAACTGTTGGTGGGTCTGAAGAAACAGCAGTCTGTGTTTACTCACAGCCGAGACATCAGTGACGCTGCAGTGAAAGCTAGCTACCTCATTGCTAATGAAATCGCAGTGGCTTCAAAACCATTTAGTGAGGGTGAATTTGTAAAAACATGCATGATGAAGGCAGCGGAGATTGTGTGCCCTGAAAAGCACCAGGCTTTTGCAAATATCAGCCTGACAAGAAACACAGTTGCAGACAGGATTTCCGATCTTTCAGTGGATTCAGTGGAAGTAAAGTCATTTATTGCGTTTTCGGTTGCAATTGATGAAAGCACGGACATTACAGATGTTGCACAACTGGCCATTTTCATCCGCGGAGTTGATGACACATTGACCGTCACCGAGGAGTTCGTGGAGTTGGTGCCGATGACAGATACAACGACAGCAGCTGATATTTTCACTGCACTCGTCAGCCCCGCTGGACAGGGTCGGAGTGGACTGGTCCCGCGCTGTCAGCCTGGCTACAGATGGTGTGCCCTCAATTATCGGGAAAAAAGCAGGCGTTGTGACAAAGTTCAGAGAGAAAGTGCAATCTGCAAATGGAGGACGTGATTTTTGGACTTTTCACTGTATTTTGCACCAGAAGGCTTTGTGTTGCAAGTCATTAAAGATGGATAACGTCATGAATAAAACAAAGCTGCGCTCAAGGCTCACGCACAAGCACTTGAATCACATCCTGAAGTTGGCTGCCACTCAGGATGTGACGCCTGATATTGATGCGCTGGTGAAAGCTAAAAGATGCCAGGTATCAAGAGTCAAATAAACTATGCAACCCCACTTAAAGTGCTGCATGAGACACCCTGATATAGTTCTGTGATCTGTGATATACTTCTGTGAATCACTGAGGCATTGTGTGTTTGTGTGTTGTTTGTCCTCAGAATTTCAAATAACTTGAGGTGTTTTATGATTAATAGTGATGTTGTGCTTTTGGACACACTGTCCTCAGGCTCCATCTTTATGTTTATATGTTTTTATGTTGATGTGCTATTGTTTTTAATTGATTTTATTTTATTTGTATATTTATCCTATTCTTGACTCTGTGGTTCTTGCACTTGTTTGGGGAACAGGATTTCATTATTTGTATCTACATTTCTGCCTGAGAAATGACACCCTGATATAGTTCTGTGATCTGTGAAACAGTTATGTGAATCACTGAGGCATTGTGTGTTTGTGTGTTCTTTTTCTTTAGAATTTTCAAATAAACTTCAGGTGTTTTATGATTAATAGTGATGTTGTGCTTGTACTATTTTGGACACACTGTCCTCAGGCTCCAGCTTTATGTTTTATGTTGATAGTATTAAAACAAAGAAAACAATCTGAAGTTGTTGTTTTTAAGTTATATATACCATGATTTTACCGGTCCGGCCCACTTGGGAATAGATTTTCCTCCATGTGGCCCCTGAGCTAAAATGAGTTTGACACCCCTGGTCTACACTGTATTTCTGATCAATTTGATGTTATTTTAATGGAAATTACTAAGTGACCCCAAACATTTCAACGGTAGTGTACATTACCAAGGCCCTTAAACAAGAAATTGAACTTGGTCAAATCTGATTCACCAAGACAAAACATAATGTTTGAATTACATACAGTACATAGAACCACACATACTATGAATCTATTGCTGTCCCTCACAGCACAGTACAGTCAGATACAGTTGCAGGAGTATGTTTCACGTATAACGCCTTAACTCCAGTAGTTTAGACTGTAGGTTAAAATCACCCCATCTTTGCTTTCTCCATCACCATCAAATAAACTAACAACCTGCGTGCGAACATTCAGTACATGTAACCTGGCCCTAAGGACATGGAACACATCATGAAGGTATGTGTGTGTGTGTGTGTGTGTGTGTGTGTGTGTCTGTGTGTGTGTATGTTTCTGTGTGTTTCTGTACACACGAGGACAGGTCTGTAAAATACATTATCTTACACCAGACAGTCCACCAAGCTTATAAAATACTAACCCTGATCGAAACGAATGTACATGAATGTCACGAAGGATAGACAGTGACATGGTTGACCACCCTTACAGACACCTTAACAGCTACATGGTTTGTGGACAACATTAAACAAAGAAGTTATGGACACACTTCTCTGACCTAGGCTTATCCCTTCCCTGCTTTGCTGAACGGGCCACCCCTTCACAGCTAAGGAAATAGTTTGACAAGAAAGGGAAGCAAAGTGTCCAATAGGCACTCCCTCCAATTTACGCCTGAATGTGATCTAAAAACCTGCTGTCACAGCTGTCATTATTCTCTTTTTCCCACATCAAACAAAAACCATCTCTCCAAATAGTTCAGCCTTTTCAATATAACTGACTCTGAAATGTTGTTTTCCTCTTCAGAGGGGCAATTAAACAAACCCGTTATTGTTTTGTAGTTCTTTTCATCCAAAGACTCACATGACACTGAAACATAATGAGGTCATACTGCAGCAAAAGATCAAGTTAGCCTGCTTTGAACTCATGAGTTCATAAAAATCGGATTTGTTCCCCTGGATGCTTTAAAAGCTAAGATGGCTCCAGTTTTATGGTCACGCCCTGACCTAGACCTAGACCTAGTCAAGGAGGAAGTCAAGGACGATGGTCATTAGAGAGACCCTGGTGTGAAGCTCTATTGAATTTGACCAGCGTAGGCCCCAGATGGTGGCCTTTCTAAGGGATGGATATTCAATTCAATTGGTACCACCACTAGATGCTGCTGGTGTGGCGACTAGTCATCTTGTTGGGCATATGGGTGCGTACGGGTGTGGAGTTGATGAAGGACTCACCGCCGTGCACATGGTGTAGCCGGCGCCAAAGTCAAATCGACACTGCTCGTCCATGGAGTAGTGTATCCCTGGTAACTGTGGCAACGCCGGCCAGTCATGGTCAAAGGGGTCGTCACGGAGACAGTCATAGGAGCTATGAGAGAAAAACATGAATTGGAGTTGAAGACTTTGGTTTCGATCTAACAGTTGAATAAACATTTCAAAATCTAACCCTTCACTGTAATCACATAAGGAATGAGCCACATGACTGCAAGACAGAACAGAACAAGACAGAGAAACCTCCCTAACTAACCTGATCTAATCTGTATAAGACCATTAGACAACATAAAGCCATGTTCTATTGGGGATTGAGATGTGTCGGTTCTGACTGTGGGAACAGAGAGAGGTCAGAGGTCAGGGTTGACCTGAACTCACTTCAGGTACTTGCTGAGCTCCGCCTGGCTGCATCGGGACCAGTGGAAGCGATGGAAGGCAGCCTGCACCAGAGGGGCCATGATGCTACCCATGGGCACCTCATCACCACACTCATTACCAGGGGGGCCATCATGCTCCATACCCAGCCTGACAGGGGAGGACAGGATGGCTTCAAATAAACAGCAGGCACTAATACACAGCTGTGAGTATGCGTGCATGTGTAAAAACATTTTTATAGAGTTTCTTGTTATCCTACAAAATGTAAATGCATAGTAGTAACTGCAGTAATAAATGTATTTGTGTATACTATGTGTTGAACGGTGTGTATAAGTGTGTCTCACACGTGTCCAGTCTCGTGTGCCACGACAAAGGCAGAGGAGAAGCCGTCCTCGTGGTTGAGAGTGCAGCTCCGCACTGGGTGGCACATACCCGTCACAGGAGCGTAACCTAAGCAACGAGAAAGAGAAAGAACGAGAGAGAAAAGAAGAAAGGAATATGTATACAGTGTGCACACACGTGACGTGTATACTGTATGAGAGCACATTAAGTATCTCCAGTACCTTGCATGCCGGAGGGACCGAACTCCTGTCGGGTGAGGAAGATGGCGTGGTCATGGTACTCTGGATCACTCCTGTCTTCCTTCTGCTGCAGGAAGGCCCAGCGACATATGTTCTCTAGACTCTGAGATGGGTTCCCCAGCTCTATCAGACTCATAGACTGGAGACAATACAGGAAAGGACAAACTGTCACCACATTACCTCAGTCCATTCTTACAACATTGTTATGCTAAAACACTAGATCAGTTATTGATGAGGGCGACTCATCAAGAGGATGTCGACAAATTATTTTTGTATATTTCCCTGTGTGTCTGCAATGCATTGAAAAGGCTTTTTTCCAAAGTATTTCTGGCATATCCTGCTAGCCAGTAGGTGGTACTCTTGAAGGGACAAATGCACAAAGATGCCATGACAGCAAATGAGGAATTCTCTCATATAAACTGACAATCACAGGCAATCCATAATACAATTGATGAAACAACACAACAAAATGCTTTTTGCACACAAGAGATAATGCCTCATTCTGTCACTACAGTAATGGGGTTCTACTATTAAAAATTTACTTAACCAAAGTAGATACAGTAAAGGACTATTCTTTTTTTGATCAAGGTTTTTTTGTTTAAAGATTATACAGACAAACACACACACACACACACACACACACACACACACACACACACACACACACACAAACTGATCCTTTACCGCATCAACCCTACACCGACCCACATGCTCCAACAGAGCCCCACCGCAATACCAGAGTACAGGAGTATTCTGACATGGGGATCAGTCTATCTCCTACAGGTTACATCTGCTGACCATGTGAGTGAATGGCTTAAGCCTATTGTCTCTTACCTTGGCAGGACACAGCATGATGATACGGACCAGAACCACGTTGATGTGAGCACCCAAGGTACGATCCTGGTAAATCTCATTCACCTGCAGAGACAGACAGACAAACTGACGGAAGCACGTGGCCTGCGACTACAGTACATAATCATAATGCATATTACTTGGCTGACTTATCTGAGAGAGGTTGGATATTGTGCAGGAAGGGGAGCAGTTAACAGGACCTGGTATGTCTCCATCTGACATTTATATGTTGGAATTCTATCAATGCATCATGTGCACCTATTCCCCAGAAATGCACCTCTTGCTAGGAATGCTCTTCTCTCTCTAAGAGGAGGTCTAATTAAAAATGTATCCACCCATATTTTATGTCTTCTGTCACTATTCCAGTCCTAACTGTCAGAGATTAGTAGGAGAGGCAGGGGTGTCCCAGTTACCATCTGAGTGAGCATGTCCCAGAGAGGGATGGGCTCCTCTGGCCCTGTCTGGCCCGTCTGGCCCTGTCTGTCTGTCACACCTTATTCATTTACACACCTCACCTGTCCTGGCCCAGGGGAGGTGGCCCATGACAGTGCAGGGAGAGTGAGGGGTTATCTGTGTGTGTGTGTGTGTGTGTGTGTGTGTGTGTGTGTGTGTGTGTGTGTGTGTGTGTGTGTGAGAGAGTGAGTGAGTGAGTGAGTGAGTGAGTGAGTGAGTGAGTGAGTGAGTGAGTGAGTGAGTGAGTGAGTGAGTGAGTGAGTGAGTGAGTGAGTGAGTGAGCGAGCGAGTGAGTGAGTGAGTGAGTGAGTGAGTGAGTGAGTGAGTGAGTGAGTGAGTGAGTGAGTGAGTGAGTGAGTGAGTGAGTGTAGAGGTATAGAGGGAGGACAGTCCCCTGTCAGATAGACTGAGCTAATGAGGCCAGGGGAGGAGAATAGAGAGCTGACAGAGACCAGAACAGACACGCACACTGACAGACTGACTGACATGGGATAATGGAAAAGGTAACTCTGATGGAAAATCTTTAGCTGTATTATCATATCAGATTTATGCTAAAGGCTAAAAGGACAATATTATTCAATGTGCGTTGGAGTCTAGATACCTGATAGACCGAATCCTTTATGTATTATGCAATTGAATGCAGTTTAATTGGCACCAATGCACAATAATCCAAACGAGCCTATTAGAGCTAAACAGAGCCATTAAGGACTAGTCCCCAGTCAGGAGAACACTGCCTGTCTCCCTCGTGCTCTCTATCTCTCTCTCCTCTTCTTCTGCATAAGAGTTGCTAAGCAACCTTCAGAAGATGTCCTTGGTAGAAACTCCCTGGGGCCTGTGTCTGTCTGGGCCCCTCCCTCCTGATGGGCCAGCTGCACCTGAGCCCCTGATCCCTGAGGCCGCCTGGCCCTGTCTGTCTGTCTGTCTGTATGTCTATCTGCCTGCCTGCCTGCCTGACTACCTGCCAGTCTGCGTGCCTGCCTGTCTGCCAGTCTCATCATCTTTCTGTTGACCTGTCTGTCTCTCTGTCTGCCTGTCTGTCTGTGAGAATTGATTTAGTTGGATTCATCCTCTTGCTCTGCTTCAGAGGATCAAATGTAAAACGGCTAAATGACTCCCCTTACTGAGGAATAACACAACTGTGCCACAGTGTGTTTCTGGGCAGCGCGTTTGATCTTGTTTTTCTTCTGTGTGTGCCTTGTATTTTCCAGTGCACCTGTTTTGCGCACTGGAGTGTTTTGAAACGTTACTGCGTAACTCTGTGGTTGCGGAATATAGCCTATTATTCTGTGATTTACCCTCCTGCGCCTGACTCCTTCAACATCACCTCATCACAGAATCACACACCTAAGACATGGAGTCAGCAGGAGAGGAGCACATGCCCGGAGTCGTGGCATGGGTCCGGGAGCATTCGACGATGCTAGCCAGCTTGGGAGAAGCGATCTTTCGGGACCAGCTGAGCAACCGGATCCAGCCACCCACACCCCAGCACCAAGAGGGATTTCGACGGGACAGATGCCCTCTGCCAGGGATTCTTCCTACAACTGGAGTTATACCTCTCGAGCATCAGCCCGGCTCCATTGGAGCGGGAAAAGGTGTCCGCCCTCGTCTCCTGCCTCTCGGAGAAAGCCCTGGAGTGGGCCAACGCATTCTGGAGTGAAGGAGGAGCCTACGGGGAGTTTGCTCACCTCTTTCGGGCCGTGAGCGGCTGGTCCACCTGAGGCAGGGGACAAGGACCGCGCAGGACTTCACCCTGGAGTTTCGTACTCTAGCGGCTGGGTCCGGGTTGAACGAGCAGGCCCTCATCGACCACTTCCGGTGCCATATACGAGAGGACATCTGAAGGGAGCTAGCCTGCCGGGACACCACGTTGTCCTTCAATCAACTGGTGGACATGGCCATGCGGTTGGACAATCTGATGGCTGCTAGAGGACGTCCTGGAAGGGGCCTGCCTCCCCACCTTTTCATGGCCGCAGAGGGTATTCACAGGGTGGTCGCGAGAGTGTCAGGGTAGGTGTCTAGGTGTTTCCGTAGGTGCAACCACGGTGGAAAGTCCAGACACTACCTCCACTGTGCGCATGGAGATGGAGGGAGATCGCATTTCAGCCGTGCGTAATTGGCCGACTCCAACCACGGTTAAGGAGGTGCAGCGTTTCATTACTGCCAATTACTAACGGAGGTTTATCCGGGGCTTTGGCAAGGTCGCAGCTCCCATCACATCTCTGTTGAAGGGTGGGCCGTCCCGGCACCGCTGGTCTGCTGAGGCTGACAGGGTCTTCAGTAACCTGAGGGTTCTGTTCACCTCAGCCCCAATACTGGTCCATCCCGATCCATCACTACCATTCATAGTGGAGGTGGATGCATCCAAGGTAGGTATAGGCGCTGTCCTATCTCAATGCTCGGGCACGCCACCCAAGCTCCTCCCCTGTGCCTTCTTCTCCAAGAAGCTCAGCCCGGTGGAGCAGAACTACGACGTTGGTGATCTGGAGCTGTTGGCTGTTGTCCGAGCCCTGACCATGTGGAGACACTGGCTCGAGGGTGCGAAACACCCTTTCCTCTTCTGGACGGACCACTGTATCCTGGAGTACATCCGGCAGCTAGGAGGCTGAACCCTCGCCAGGCCAGGTGGGCCTTGTTCTTCACCCGGTTTCAATTTACACAATCTTACATCCCGGTTACGAAGAACGTAAAGGCAGACGCACTGTCATGGCTGTACAACACAGAGGAGAGGCCCATAGACAACATCCCCCATACCCCCGGCCTCCTGCATTGTGGTGCCGGTAGTGTGGGCGGTGGACGTGGACATAGAGCGGGCGTTACGCACAGAGCCATTTCCACCTCAGTGTCCAGCTGGGCTGCAGGACGTGCCTTCTCTTGTCCGTGACCGTCTGATCTATTGGGCACACACGTCCCCCTCCTCTGGTCACCCAGATATTGGTCGTACAGTGCGCTGCCGGAATGTACTGGTGGCCTACCTTGGCTAAGGACGTGAGGGTGTATGTCTCCTCCTGCTCGGTGTGCGCCCAGAGTAAGGCACCTAGGCACCTCCCAGCAGGTAAGTTACAGAATTTACCAGTTCGACAACGGCCATGGTCCCACCTGTGTATTGACTTTCTCACTGATCTTCCCCTCTCTCTGAGTAACACCACCATCCTGGTCGTTGTGGACCGCTTATCAAAAGCCTGCCGCCTCCTTCCTCTGTCCAGTCTCCCCACGGCCCTGCAGACTGCGGAAGCCCTGTTTACACACGTCTTCCGGCACTACGGGGTGCCAGAGGACATATTGTCTGACCAGGGTCCCCAGTTTACATCCAGGGTCTGGAAGGAGTTCATGGAACGTCTGGGGGTCTCAGTCAGCCTGACCTCTGGGTTTCACCCCAAGAGTAATGGGCAGGTGGAACGGGTGAATCAGGATGTGGGTAGGTTCCTGCGGTCCTACTGTCAGGACCGGCCGGGGGAGTGGTCGGTGTTCTTGCCATGGGCAGAATATGCCCAGAACTTTCTCCGCCACTCCTCCACTAACCTATCGCTCTTTCAATGTGTTTTAGGTTATCAGCCGGTTCTGGCACCGGGGCATCAGAGCCAGACCGAAGCTCCTGCGGTGGATGACTGGTTTCGGCTCATGTCCACCTCCAACGCTGACCGCCACCGCAGTGTGGCCCCAGTCTTGGTACCGGGTGATCGGGTCTGGCTCTCGACCCAGAATCTGCCCCTCCGTCTGCCCTGCCGGAAGCTGAGCCCGTGGTTTGTGGGGCCATTCAAAGTCCTGAGGAGGATAAACAAGGTTACATATAGGTTATTACTCCCTCCAGATTATCGTATTAACCCCTCGTTCCATGTGTCTCTACTCAGGCCGGTGGTGGCTGGTCCGCTCCAGGAGTCTGAGGTGCGAGAGTTTCCTCCGCCTCCTCTGGACATAGAGGGGGCCCCGGCATACTCCGTCCATTCCATCCTGGATTCGAGGCGTCAGGTGGGGGGCCTTCAGTACCTCATGGAGTAGGAGGTGTACGCTCCTGAGGAGCAGTGCTGGGATATCCTCAATCCCTCCCTATTGCGCGATTTCCACCGTCGCCATCCAGCTCGCCCGGCTCCATGTCCTCCTGGACGGGGACCGAGGCCGGTGTTGGCGCGCTGCTGGAGCTGCGTGTCAAGGGGGGGGTACTGTCATGACTTCCTCCGAAGCTGCCACCTCTCCTTGTTCGGGCAGGCTTCGGCATTCGTCGTCACCGGCCTTCTAGCCACTGCCGCTCCTCATCTCATCATTCCATTTGTTTTGTCTTGTTTATTACACACACCTGGTTCATAACCCCTCATCAGTACCTGTATAAGTGTTCCCTCTGCCCCCTTGTCTTTGTGTGTGATTGTTTATTGTGGAGAGTAGTGAAGCTCGGTGGAGCTCCTTGTATTTTGTATCGCCGAGATATTTTCCCATGTGCCTTGTATTTTCCAGTAGCGCCTGTTTTGCGCACTGGAGTGTTTTGACACGTTACTGCGTAACTCTGTGGTTGCGGAATAAAGCCTATTATTCTGTGATTTACCCTCCTGCTCCTGACTCCTTTAACATCACCTCATCACAAAAGGAAGGCTCGCTAGCACAGATACAGCTGTGAAGCCATTTCCTCCCTTGGCCAAATAAAACAAGCATATGTTCAATATTCACCAGTCTCCCATCGCACACTTCTCTCCCTTCCTCACACACACACTCTTTTGCCCTCAACCTTATACGTATCTACCGTCCCCTGTTTAATTCCTCCCCTCTCTATATATCTCTTCCTGGTCCTACCCCATTCCCCTGCCCCCCAGCCCTTCCTAACCCTGTGTTAATAACCTCATTAGCACTGGCCCCTGTCCTGACCCACCGGAGGGCATGGGCTGGATTCTATTTCACTGGCCAGGTAGCTGGCTAATTGAAGCCAGTGAGGCCAGAGTGCCAGAAAATCATTAGAATCAAATTAATAATTCTGCAAGGTCTCACACAGGAGCTACTGTACATTCAACTGAGGGGAGATGGGTGGTGGAAGAGACAGAAATGAAACAAGGGAAAACACATGGAAACGTGAAGCACATAAAACAGGTTACAGAGTTTAGGTTAGAGAATGATTCTGTGGTAGAAAATCACCTCAGAGGTGGAAATGGTTGGGTGTGTGAAAAAGGTTTAGTGTAGTGTCGTGTAGGGTAGCGTAGTGTTGCGTAGTGCAATGTAATATATGGCACTAACTATGTTCATGAGGGTGAGGAGGTACTTCTGGATGTGCTCTCTGCCATGGAAGTTGACCACAGAGGAGTCCACCCCCAGTAGGACCTCGATGTTGAACAGCTCGTGTTCCTCGTTGGCCTGGCGTCGGGCCCGAGCCCGCCTGGTCCTGTTCCGGATCAGGTTGTGATTCTGCTGCTGCACCCCTCTGGACAGGGCCTGCAGGTCCATCAGACCACCTAGAACTGACCCTGAACAACATAGACAGACAGATACAGTATGTGTGGAAGAAGGCCTTAGAGAGGAGTCACAGTAGCTAATGGCATTGTATAGAAAATGATTTAAGCTGGATGATATTAGCCAATAAAACATTAAACGAAGTGCTGACTCAAATAGGATTCTTCTCCAAAATGTTTTGGTGCTGTATCCTTGTAATCCAGCATGTGCATGGTGGTAAAAATGTGTTTTTACCATTTAATGTTCTATATTAGTCAATAGCCATTTTTGGAACATACAGACAAATTAAATGTGTCTAATTCACAGCAGGGTTTGGCTAAATTCAGAATTGAATGAGAATGCCTATTAAATTCCAGTTCAATTCTTGAATTTGAATTGAAGTAGTAAACAGGATACAGAATTGCAATTCAAATTTGAATGAACGGAAATAGAATTGAATTCAGTGAAATTGAAATGCCTCTTCTATTCTATATTACATGTAGGTGTATTTTATACAAATATACATCTTGTATATAAAACATCAAACATGTCGTTATATACATATACCTGTATATGAAATATTGTTGAAACAATTGATTTTCAGGACATACTCTTAAAATGAATGATCAAGGAAAACAAAACCTGTATCCGAAAATTCTAAGTTATTATATTTCATTAATCACCAACATTTTGTTCAATATGGGAAAGTACTACATTTACCAGAATGCATTAGTTTAACCCTCACTTTGACCCTGAGGCCTTCAGAAAGAAGTCAAACAAAGTAAATGGTTGGTGGAAATATAATTGGCTATTCTAAGCACTACGGTTAAAAGAGCACAGTTTATGAACATTGTTTTCCGAGAAAAGTGATATATTCTTTGGTATCTGAAAGTGTGACCTGTCAGATTCAATGAAACTCTCATGTTCTATTGCTGGCTTCACATGCTTGTGGGAAATGGAAAACTGGGAAGTGGGAAGTCGTAAATCCAACATGATTGTGTTCAAGTGCTTTTGAAGTCAGAACAGTTCTTCATCCAATAAGATTTTAGCTAGCTAGCTTAATAATAAAGTTAGCTAGCTTGCTTAACATTACATTTTACATTTACATTTACATTTTAGTCATTTAGCAGACGCTCTTATCCAGAGCGACTTACAGGAGCAATTATGGTTAAGTGCCTTGTTCAAGGGCACATTTACGCCATTTAGCAGACGCTCTTATCCAGAGCGACTACAAATTGGTGCATTCACCCTATAGCCAGTGGGATAACCACTTTACAATTATACTTTTTTTTTTTTTTTTTTTTTTTTTTTTTGGGGGGGGGGGGGGGGGGGGGGGGGAGGGGTAGAAGGATTACTTTATCCTATCCCAGGTGTTCCTTAAAGAGGTGGGGTTTCAAATGTCTCCGGAAGGTGGTGAGTGACTCCGCTGTCCTGGCGTCGTGAGGGAGCTTGTTCCACCATTGGGGTGCCAGAGCAGCGAACAGTTTTGACTGGGCTGAGCGGGAACTATGCTTCCGCAGAGGAAGGGGAGCCAGCAGGCCAGAGGTGGATGAACGCAATGCCCTCGTTTGGGTGTAGGGACTGATCAGAGCCTGAAGGTACGGAGGTGCCGTTCCCCTCACTGCTCCATAGGCAAGCACCATGGTCTTGTAACGGATGCGAGCTTCAACTGGAAGCCAGTGGAGTGTGCGGAGGAGGGGGGTGACGTGAGAGAACTTGGGAAGGTTGAACACCAGACGGGCTGCGGCATTCTGGATGAGTTGTAGGGGTTTAATGGCACAGGCAGGGAGCCCAGCCAACAGCGAGTTGCAGTAATCCAGACGGGAGATGACAAGTGCCTGGATTAGGACCTGTGCCGCTTCCTGTGTAAGGCAGGGTCGTACTCTCCGAATGTTGTAGAGCATGAACCTGCAGGATCGGGTCACCGCCTTGATGTTAGCGGAGAACGACAGGGTGTTGTCCAGGGTCACGCCAAGGCTCTTCGCACTCTGGGAGGAGGACACAACGGAGTTGTCAACCGTGATGGCGAGATCATGGAACGGGCAGTCCTTCCCCGGGAGGAAGAGCAGCTCCGTCTTGCCAGGGTTCAGCTTGAGGTGGTGATCCGTCATCCATACTGATATGTCGGCCAGACATGCAGAGATGCGATTCGCCACCTGGTTATCAGAAGGGGGAAAGGAGAAGATTAGTTGTGTATCGTCAGCGTAGCAATGATAGGAGAGGCCATGTGAGGATATGACAGAGCCAAGTGACTTGGTGTATAGGGAGAAAAGGAGAGGGCCTAGAACTGAGCCCTGGGGGACACCAGTGGTGAGAGCACGTGGTGCGGAGACAGCTTCTCGCCACGCCACTTGGTAGGAGCGACCGGTCAGGTAGGACGCAATCCAGGAGTGAGCCGCGCCGGAGATGCCCAGCTCGGAGAGGGTGGAGAGGAGGATCTGATGGTTCACTGTATCAAAGGCAGCAGACAGGTCTAGAAGGACAAGAGCAGAGGAGAGAGAGTTAGCTTTAGCAGTGCGGAGAGCCTCCGTGACACAGAGAAGAGCAGTCTCAGTTGAATGACCGGTCCTGAAACCTGACTGGTTTGGATCAAGAAGGTCATTCTGAGAGAGATAGCAAGAGAGTTGGCTAAAGACGGCACGCTCAATAGTTTTGGAAAGAAAATAAAGAAGGGATACTGGTCTGTAGTTGTTGACATCAGTGGGATCGAGTGTTGGTTTTTTGAGAAGGGGTGCAACTCTCGCTCTCTTGAAGACGGAAGGGACATGGCCAGCGGTCAAGGATGAGTTGATCAGCGAGGTGAGGTAGGGGAGAAGGTCACCGGAGATGGTCTGGAGAAGAGAGGAGGGGATGGGGTCAAGCGGGCAGGTTGTTGGGCGGCCTGCAGTCACTAGTCGCAAGATTTTATCTGGAGAGAGAGGGGAGAAAGAAGTCAAAGCATAGGGTAGGGCAGTGTGAGCAGGACCAGCAGTGTCATTAGACTTAACAAACGAGGATCGGATGTCGTCAACCTTCTTTTCAAAGTGGTTGACGAAGTCATCCACAGAGAGGGAGGGGGGGGGGGGGGGGGGGGGGGGGGGGGGGGGGGGGGAGGATTCAGCAGTGGAGAATGTGGCAAAACCAGAAAAAAATAGGGGGGGATGGTGCGGTCGAAGGGGTTTTTTTCTTTTTTTTGTCAGCCCCGGATTTTTGGAGCTCGCCTTCTTTTCCCCGGGGCAAAAAGCCGGCCAAATAGGGGGAAAAGGGGGAAAGGTGCAGGGGGGAGAGGAGGGGGAGGACAGAACAAAATTTAAAAGGGGGCAAGGGGAAAAATAGGAAAAGGGGAAAAAGAAAACATTCGCCACTTCCATCTGGACAAAGGGGGATGTTTAAAAAAAGAGAAAAAAACAAATACGGAGACCCCCGGGGGGGAACAGGGAATTTTGGGGAAGGAAAAACAAACACTACACAGAACATAACACCCCACACGAACACACTCACCACACAAAAAAACAAAAAGACCACAAGCGAAGAAACCAAACCACACCAAGCGAGAAATAAGCGCGAACCACCCCCCTCCACCCCATCCCCCCCCCCCCCCCTCGCCCCCATCCCCCCCCCCCCCCCCCCTCCCCCCGAATTTAGAGTGGTTTAGAGTAGAAAGTGGCCCTTAGAAGCAGAAACAAACAGATGAAGAAAATGTAGAGAGGAGGGAGTGAAAAGATGCCAGGTCGGCAGGGAGTTTAGTTTTCTTCCATTTCCGCTCAGCTGCCCGGAGCTCTGTTCTGTGAGCTCGCAATGAGTCATCAAGCCACGGAGCTGGAGGGGAGGACCGAGCCGGCCGGGAGGATAGGGGACACAGGGAGTCAAAGGATGCAGAAAGGGAGGAGAGGAGGGTTGAGGAGGCAGAATCAGGAGATTGGAGGGAGAAGGATTGAGCAGAGGGAAGAGATGATAGGATGGAAGAGGAGAGAGTAGTGGGAGAGAGAGAGCGAAGGTTGCGGCGGCACGTTACCATCTGTGTAGGGGCAGAGTGAGTAGTGTTGGAGGAGAGCGAGAGAGAAAAGGATACAAAGTAGTGGTCGGAGACATGGAGGGGAGTTGCAGTGAGATTAGTAGAAGAGCAACATCTAGTAAAGATGAAGTCAAGCGTATTGCCTGCCTTGTGAGTAGGGGGGGATGGTGAGAGGGTGAGGTCAAAAGAGGAGAGGAGTGGAAAGAAGGAGGCAGAGAGAAATGAGTCAAATGTAGACGTAGGGAGGTTGAAATCCCCCAAAACTGTGAAGGGTGAGCCATCCTCAGGAAAGGAACTTATCAAGGCGTCAAGCTCATTGATGAACTCTCCAAGGGAACCTGGAGAGTTTGTGTAGCCTGTGCGGAGAGGAGAGAACAGGGATAGGCAGAGGCATAGTTGACAGGCTGCAGCAGATGGCTAGATAGATGACAAGGATATTAAGCTTAAATGGGCTAGTGACTGTGACAGCGTGGAATTCAAATGAGGAGATAGACAGATGGGTTAGGGGAAAAATTGAGAATGACCACTTGGGAGAGATGAGGATTCCTGTGCCACCACCCCTCTGACCAGATGCTCTCGGGGTATGCGAGAACACATGGTCAGACGAGGAGAGAGCAGTAGGAGTAGCAGTGTTTTCAGTGGTAATCCATGTTTCCGTCAGCGCCAGGAAGTCGAGGGACTGGAGGGTAGCATAGGCTGGGATGAAGTCAGCCTTGTTGGCGGCAGAACGGCAGTTCCAGAGGCTGCCTGAGACCTGGAACTCCAGGTGTGTGGTGCGTGCAGGGACCACCAGGTTAGAGAGGCAGCAGCCACACGGTGTGAGGCGTTTGTGTAGCCTGTGCGGAGAGGAGAGAACAGGGATAGGCAGAGGCATAGTTGACAGGCTGCAGTAGATGGCTACAATAATGCAGAGGAGATCGGAATGAAATGAACTAAACATCTGGGAAAGGAGAGAGCAGGCCTCCCTCACCAAAAAAATAATAATATAACTCTCCCAACTTCCACCTCAGAAACTATAATTGTTTCACTGAACCACCCGAA